AGTAGAGAGATTTAGAAAATAATGTGTGTAGTTGCGCAAATCTTCCATTTGATTTTAGCAGACTTCTTATAGGAGAGAAGAGAGCCGTTGAGCCTTGACCAAAAATAGAGGCACGAGATCTTCAAAGGGATTTGACCCAAGGGGTGCCTCTTCGAATCCTACTCTTGGGAGGGACCGGATTCGATATTGACCTTCCTTGTCACAGGCTTACATTGAGGAAACATTCAAGCCTACTATTGAGCTTAATTAAGGATACTGAATATTTGCTGGCAATAGCTCCTTGATTTGTAATCTGATTTCCTTTGATTGAGGCCGAATGAATGTGCTAAAATTTGATTCCTTCTTCTTGTCCATTAATTCAGCAATCACATCTTTGAACAACTTCTCATTAGTATTCTTTCCTTTTGATGATTTCGATTCCTGCAAACCAAGGTAAGTGAACATTGTCATCATTGAAACTTTGAAATATAACTTAACAGTAAAATCTCCATTTTTTTTTTACAGAACACTTGTTCTTATAACATCGCGTATAGGCATTTTCCTCATAATGCAATTAATTATATCCCTTGGCAAGTTTCTGATTATATCTACATCATCAACTGATTCATGGCTTCTGCCTAATCTTTCTCCTTTGATACCATTTGGAAGCATATCTCCTAAGAATGAAAAAGCAAGTAGCCAATGTAATCAGTTCAATTTTTGCTCGTTGAGAAAGAAAGTGAAATGCAATATATTCTATAACAAAGGATGACATTAGTCTTTTACATGCATTCACAATGAAAGGCACTTAATTTTATGTTTCAAGGCAGGTAAATCATCATCATCAATAACAACAACCCTATATAATCCTATAAATAGGGTCTAGAGGTAGTATGTAGGCAGACCTTACCCCTACCCTGGGATAGAATCGTAGAGAAGTTATTTCTGATAGACCCTCGGCTCATTAAGATGAAAAGAAATAATAAAACAATAACAACGACAAAGGTCATAAAGATAGATGGAATTAAGACAGATAAATCAACAGAAAAAGGGGAAAAAGAAGAAAGAGGCTATTGATGATTTCAAGCATGATTAGAATAATTGTGACATCTCTTCTAAACTTTAATTAGGTTTTACATCAAGAAATGCAAAGGTAGTTACTAGACATGTATCTGATGGATTATTATATGCTGCTGAAGCAATCCCAACATCAAAATCACATGTAATCTAGACAACTAGCATATACAGAGTTTTCCGGGTTATCTCTTAAAGCGTAAACACGGCTTTTCAGTCATGTACGCCTTCAGAACCACAGCGTCTCAATGGAATCTCCATCACCAGCACGATTACGATCTTCGAACGTTCTACGGTCTTCTACTGTGTTACCCAAATAATATTCGAAAATAGTAATTTTGTGCGGGCGAAATTTCTAGGAAAAAGGCTGAAATTTTCGGTCACCTTGTTCTACCTCTTCTATGTGGAAAACCTTATGTATTTATAACGCAAGTTTTAAGGGTTAAAACCTTTTTTCAAAACCTGTTGGGTTTTCTTTTCCACCAGAAAAATAATTCCTTTATTTCCTATTCTTTAGGCACATCAGAGACCACAGAATTTAATTAACAAAGCTTCCAATTATGGAATTAATTTTCAATTTTCGAAATTAATATTCACCATAATTAATTATGAATTATTCCCACTAAAAATTTATAATTTCAGTCCTTATTCAATTTCGAAATTCATCTATTAAATCTTATTTAACTCCCCATGTTAAGATTCAAATACTAATCAATTAAATTAGATTACTGACGATTTAATTTATTGATTATTTCCTTTAGACTTTCGCTTAGCTTATTTCATGTGCCGGATACAAAATTCATCGGTCGGGTTTACACATGAAAACTTATAAGCTTTCATAAAGGTGTATCATCAATCTCTAAACCGAGATATGAATTCCATCAATTAACTATTATTTCGCCAATGTACATTATTATTATCCAATTTACCAGGTATATTGACCTACGAAAGGATCTCGCCTTTTAATAAATCAAAACAATAATAATATACACATCTAATAATAAATATATCAAGATTTAGAGTATAAGTACATTTAATGGCTAGAGAATTTATTTTATTAAGTCAGTATAAAATACTTATCTCTACTTGGTCCGTTCAATACATACAAATTAATGTACTAGCACAAGAAATTGGAATTAAACCATTTCTATAATCAAGATAAATTGTATTCAATCTTATGCTACAATCATTCCTGATGGTTTGTCCAATTCCATCGTTAGATTGTGAACTCAAACTTTATACTTATAATAACAAATGATTTAATCTTTCGTGTATAAACTAAACTCTATACACTAAATCATCTACTATATAAGCAAAGGACACACACTAATATATTATCTATTTAAAACTTTATTAAATTGAATAAATAATTATTTCATAATAAATACTANTATATATATATCCCAACAATCATTCACTTAGACTTTTAACCATGACAATTGTTAGAATATACTATATCTAAATGCATGATTAATAGTATATACCCCAACAATATCATCATCTAACAATCAAAATATAATAACTATGAAGTAGTATAAAAACATCGTTTATTTCTGTAATAGTATTTCTCATGCTTTATCCAGCAGAAAATTTTATATTGAAGAAAAGGGCTTAACATAATTAAAAGAAAGAAGTATAGGTTGTGTGTAACAAACACAATGCTTTTCTTAAGCAATGAAACAAAACAGTACAGCACTACCAACCAATTCACTATAACTAAGGCTCAGGGAATTTTGAGGCTCAAAACTAAAGATGGTTAGTGTTGAGGTTTATTTAATTAAAGGGAATTGTTTCTTCATTTATGGTTTATCTGCTTGTAGGTTTCGGATGCCAAATACTTTAAAGTTTAATTGTTTTTAAAAAAAATTAAGAGGTCACTCTGAAAGGGATTAGAATAGCGGTTCAATTCAGTAAACTGAAATAATGTAGCATATACTTTTATGTTTTAGCAAAAAGGAAAAATTATTTTATGTCAATTTGATGAACTACTCCATATAAATGTATTGAATCAGGAGTTATTAAATTCACTTAAAAAAAGATTAGGGGGTGAGAGATCGTTCATAAAGTAAAAATGTGTAAATAACTTTTTGCGACTTATGTAACAAGTGTAAGTGCAACTTATATATACGATTTGGGACCTTGTTCTTAGCTCATTCAAATAAACCACCAATATTTTTTAATTGTAGCGTGTGTGTGTATTTTATATATATATATATATATAAGGGAAATAATTTAAAGAATTTAATATTAGAAGGAAATTTTTTTATCAAACTATGTCTTATTTACATTAATGAAACATGTAAAAAGAATTATTACAAAACCAAAATAAGAAAGGTGAACGTAATATTATAAACTATAGGGAAGATTAATGTAATAGAGCAAAACATTATGAGAGGTTATAGTCTCTCTTTTTTTTTTACTTTTTGTTGCACTATTACTGTTTGGAGAGTAAAGAAACCTTTATTTGACCATAATTTTTCAAGATATTTTAAAGATAAATTAAAGTATGGACTATTATAACTAGTAGTGCTTTTTATGTATTTACTAAATATGTAAATATTATTTATTTTTTAAAAAAAACTTGCAGATTTTATGTCAAAATTCATACTGAAAATTAGGTAGTTTGACACTCATAGCATATGATTATTTTAAAGAGGTGGGGTATTTGCCCAAGCTTTTAAGCAAAAAAAAAATAAGTACCTTCAAGTAGTAGCAGAAGCTATTTTTTAAAAGCTGAAAAAATAGCATCAACCTAGAAGTACTTTTGAAACCTTGATAAAATAGAAATTGCTACTCTAATAAAATGTCTCTCAAAATTGATTAGTCCGCAAACTCTTATTTTTCAAAAATATTTTCTCGAAAACATAAAATATATTTCAAATAAGTAGATTTTAAAAGTTTAACCAAAAACTATCATATTCTATATTTTGTTTTTTGTTTTGAACATTTTTTTCTCAACACGACTATGTTATTTATCCCAAATTGTATGGGAGAAGAACATTGGTCAAAGCCCAAACTCTTTGTAGGATGAACTACATATAAATATTTTAACCGGCTTCAACTTCATAATCTCGGCAACGCCGCTCCCCTACTTTCTTCATCATTCTCTAAAGGTATAAGTATTTATTATTTATTCCACGTATTTTTCTTTCTTTGATTCTGTTCTGCACTTAATACCTTTCATATGGTACCCCATATAATTCACAATTAGATACTTTTACGAGAATATTCTTGATTTTTTTTTTTGCTTTGAAGTTTGATGAGAATATCTGACATTAAATTTTACTTTATAACTTTCTTGCGACTCTGCTTGTGTGTATACATCAATTTCACTTCGATAATAAGTTTGATAAGCCTAATAGAAGCAAACTGTAATAGGATTCTCGTTTCTTTTCTTTTGCTTTTTCCTTTAGTATAGCGAATCTGTTTAGTCCTCTTGCACGCATTCGACATGTACCGAGCTTAGTCCCATGCGCGTCACCACTTGCACGACGCACTATCATTCCATCGCCAAAAGTCAGCACAACCGAACTCAGTACTTTTGGCGCGAAACATAAATTTATGCTTAAAAATTCATTAATATTGCAATATATATCAATATGAACCTATAACTTTAAAAATACAATGGGTTCAATGATAAAAACTTTACATATTGAACTCATAAAACTTAAATCCTAGATCCGCCTCTGCCACGAGCGAAGCTTTAGAGGAAAGGCATCCTTGCTATAAACACGAGCGAAGCTTTAGACAAAAGGCATCCTTGCTATAAACACGAGCGAAGCTTTAGACAAAAGGCATCCTTGCTCATAAGCGGATCCAGAATTTGAGGCTTATGAGTTCCTACCGTAATTTCAAATTAATATGCAATAATAACTGGGTTCACAGTTAGATATTTACAAATATTTAGTGAATTTCTTAATATAAATACAGGGTCTACGCAAGAGTTAATGGGTTCCCGGAAATCCGTATTCAATGCTCTAGGTCCGCCCCTATCCTTGCTATAAAGAATGCAACTCTGTGATAATTAGAACACACCCTTTTCTGCTCTACTTACCGTTGTGGCATGTTAATTTGGTAATGTGAGCAAAATTTCTGTCCAGATAGGTTGGAGATCTTCCTAATCTTTGTATTCTTGTTTATTTTCTACAGGTTTTTGTTAGCGAATATTGTTACATGATGCCTCCTAAGGACACAAAACAATATTGTTATCGAACTTCACCTCCGGATATATTTAGCAACCTTCCTGAGAATGTAATTGACGAAATTCTTATATGTTTGCCTTTTAAAGATGCTGTGAGGACAAGCGTCTTGTCAAAGAAATGGAAGTATAACTGGTGCAGACTTCCAGAGTTGACGCTTGATAGAACTATTTGGACAAGTAAAAAGGATTTTTCACTATTTAGTACTAGTGAAATTACCTATATTATCTACCATATTTTGATACTTCATGACGGACCAATTACAAAGTATATCCTCGATGTTCCTCGTACAAGAAGTTGTCCTAAGATTGATGGCTTGATATATTTCCTCTCTATGAATGGCATTCAACATCTCGTTCTTAAACTTCCATTATGTGGCCTTAACAAATTGCCTTCTTCACTTTTCACATGTTTTCAATTGAGGCATCTGACTCTGGAAAACTGTTTGATACATCCTCCACCAGCATTCGATGGATTTGATAGGTTAATTAGCTTAGAACTACATGATGTCACAATATCGTCGAAATTTCTTGAAAGTTTAATCTATCATTGCCCGTTGCTCGAGCGATTGGTGCTACGAATCCCACAACATTTGAACGTTGTTGAAATTAAAGCTCCCAAGTTGAGATCCTTTAAGTTCACAGGCAGTATACAGTTTATTACTTTAAAAGATGTCCCTCTTCTTGCAAAACTTTCACTTGTAGATACAGGATTTGTCAGGGCTGATAACTTTGATATTGCCATGTTTTTTGAGTCTTTTATTTCTCTTGAGCTTCTCCACTTGGATAACGATAGTATCAAGGTAAATATGCTTCATCATTTCATTTTGTATGTATATTTACTTATGGAACATCTTTGGGCTTTAAGTCATCCTGAATTCTGGCTTTTTCTTCCTAGTTCTTTGCTCGAGCAGGTGAAGTTGTACCAAAAAGGCTTCCCTTTGATCTTAATTGTGTCAAACGTCTTTACCTATCTGAGATTTCTCTGAATGGATTCAAGGTCATCTCATTTGCTCTTTGCTTGATTAGAAGCTTCCCATGTTTGCAATATCTGGAAATTCAGGTTTTTGACTTCCCTTTCTTTCTTATTTTCATACTACATTTTATGAAGGGCAGCCTTAGCCTTGGCTTGCTGCAATGTGACCAGGAGGTCACGGATTCAAGCCGTGAAAACAGCCTCTTGCAGAAATGCAGGGTAAGGCTGCGTACAATAGACCCTTATGGTCCGGCCCTTCCCCAAACCCCGCGTATAGCGAGAGCTTAGTGCACCGAGCTGCCTTTTATACTACTTTTTATCCTCATTAAGTTTAGAGAGATGGGTTTATGGTAATCTTTGTTAGGTGGATGAAGAAGACGATGATGATTATATTCGGCCAACTCTGATATGTCTTGAAGTGGAAGCTTTCTCAGATATGACATTGAATCACCTCAAGACAGTTAAGCTAAGAAAAATATCAGGAACAAGGCCTGAAATGCAACTGATCAAGCTTCTATTGGCTAAGTCTCCAGCGCTGGTCACAATGGTAATCGACCCTCACTATACATTGAATGGTAGAAAATATGTCAAAGTAGAGGCAGAGATATCAAAATTTCAGCGGGCGTCATCTAAAGCAGAAGTTTTATATGATGTATATTACTATTAGTAATATCTTGCTTGACTTCGCCAGTCTTTAATCAGATCATGATCTTTGGCTAAACGTTTTGTGAGTTAATGTTGAAAAATAGTAACGGATGTTTGATGCAGTAGTTAAGCTGTGTTTCTTTATTTTTTCATGCCAAAATGTATTGTTTCCAGTTGATTCATCTTTAATTTTCTGTATATATGAACCAGGAAAGGCACTGGTCCATGCTAATTATATGTCTTTAATTTCTTGTCATTCACTATTTTTTATCCTTTTATTTTTCTTTTTCTTGATAAAGCATTCAGTGTGGAAATTATTACGAAATAAAGCTAGCTCGTATATAAAATTTAAGGAGCTAACAAAGTCCAAAAAGAGATTCACATATTTATAGATTGTTTGGCCGAGCTTCTAAAATAAGCTTATTTTGAGAAATATTTTTTTCAAAAGTACTTTTGGTGAGAAAAAACTTGTGTTTGATTAATTATTTTGAAAATCACTTCTGAGCAGCAATTAGTATTTGGCAAAACTTTTTAAAAGATGCTTTTAAGGGTATTTTTCTCAAAAATATTTTTTTTTTAAAAATACTTCTTGGGAGAAGCTTTGTTGTTGTTGTTGTTGTTGTTGTTGTTGTTGTTGTAGTATTTCTGAGGAGAAGCTATATATTTTTTTCTGCTTCTCCAAAAATGGTTCTGTTTTTACTCAAAATCACTTTTCTTACTTCTAAAAACATGGTCAAACACTCCAACTTTGAAAAAAAAAATACTTTTAAAAAACAAAAAATAAACAAAAAGGAGTGTTTTTTGCCTTAAAAAGCTTGGCCAAACATGCTATTACACAATGGAAATTGCAACGGCTAAAAACGGGATCATAAGTCATCTAGCTTAATAAACCAACTAAATTTTCCAAAAATTTAGTATTATGATGAACCATGAAAATGCAGAAACATGATAATCAATGTCCATCATGCCATCGTTTACAAATTTAATTGGTTTCTTAAATTCAAATTCAAAATCAAAATCAAAACCAAATCAAAACAAAAAGTATACTCCATCCGTCTCATATTATGTGTAGTTTTCTCTTTTACACGCCCCTTAAGAAATATGAATTGGGAAAAGGATTAGACTATTCTACTCTTATTTATGTTTTAAATATAATCTCTCTTGAATATTTATTCTATATATGTGTTATCTCTATCTTCAAGAACAATTATTACTAANGATTTTCAAATAAGAAAATAGAACTTATATGGAATCCCATTTAATGAAAATCTTAATTTTTTTTTAATTTAGTTTTGACTCTTATATGGCAATCTTCAATTCAATTTTGTTATGGATCTTTAATTGTTTCATATCCAGTTTAGTAGTTTCTTTTGTCCCGACAAAAGTGAAAAAAAGGAAAAGTATGAATTTATTAAGATAATTAAAAGTTATATCAATTTCCTATAAAGATGCAGATGTCATATAGAATACTATAATTATGACAACAAAAACAAGAGAAGATAAAATCGTCAAACATTCATAAATATAAAAAGCTATAGTAATTACTTTAAAGAAAAGGAAGACGAAATAAATAAAGCTACATCAACTGTTAAAAAAAAGAAAAGAGTAAATTGCTCTTCCACACAGTAAATAGCGAAAATTTAAAATAAAATAAAAACTCAATATTCTATATTGAAAATAAAGGAGAAAATAAATTTACTCTTGAAATAACGGCATATGCGTTAAGCTATATGTTCATGATTTTACGTATTTTTTTTGTTATGTGTAATAATAATAATAATAATAATAATAATAATAATAATAATAATAATAATAATAATAATAATAATAATAATAATAATAATAGTTTATATTCTTCTATCTATTTATTTTGTTAAACAAAATCAAACAAAAACTTATCCAAGCTTTTGAATTGAAAAAACAAAACTTCAAAGACGAAAAAATACCTTAAGATTTTGGTAAATTATAAAGTATGATCATATGCACTTCTATTTTATTTTGTTTATTATTAAATTAAATACAAGATGAAATAATTATATCAAATTTTACAGTAAGGGAAATAATATAGAAAGAGGGGGTGGAGATAGTGTGAGAACATTTATACTTTGAGTAATGTAAAAAATAAAATAAAGATAATATATAAATAATACTCAAAAATATTATTGATAAGTTTAAACATTAATTTGAGCTATAGAATAAAAGAACACAAGAATAAAAGTAGATGAAATTTTTATTACAAGAAAAAGAAAACCCAAAGTCATTGTTATAATGAGAGTAGCGAAAGATATCAATAATTCTAAATTATGGGTAACTTAATAACATGGACAAAAAAAAAAGGAGAAAACAAATATGTAAATACAAATTTCAGTGTTGAGATATATAAAAGGATAAGACTTATTTGATCTTTAAGATGAGAATTGTCTTTTGAAATAATTCATATGGCCGTGCTATATAGATAAGATCACATAAATAAAAATATTATAATAGATAAAACAAAAACAAAAAATATAGACAATTGACGTAATTCTAAGAAACAAATAAAAATATAAAAAATAATATCAATTTTTATGTAATAATTTTAATAAAACATTAAAAGTCAACTTTCTTACTAAATACAAAAAGGAAGGATAATTTAATTTAATTTCTTATTGAAAGTGATACTAAAATAATAATTATTACAGTTATTAGTATATTTATGACATATAATAAATGAACTTTTCTGTTTAAACTTTGAACTAATTCAACACCACACATTTAGAAAAATAATATAACAATATTCATATTATAGATAAAAGCTAAATAAAAAGGTTAAAATATTATAGAAAAAAACTAATATATAAAGAGAAAAATAGAGATAATATGATTTTATCCATATTTTAAATTTATTTGACAAAAATAAGTAAATAAATAATACTCAAAAATATTATTGATAAATTTGAACAACAAGAGAATTATGAGAAATAGTCATATAAGATAAAGTCAAGTTAAATTTTATGAGTAATACAAAACTATATCTATTTTATTCTACTAATGTAGTAAGTTACTAAAAATTTCATGTCATAATTTGATAATACTAAGTAACGGATAATACAATTAGAATAAGCAAGGAACAAAAAAAATATAAATTTTAGAGAAAATATAGTAATATAAGACTTATAAGTAGAATTATGATGAGAAAATTTGTACATATACTCATAATTGAAATTATAATAAACAAAGAGTGATAAGGGAAGAATATTAAAGAAGAAAGAATTCCAAGTGTTAACGTAAATGTATATATTAATTAATATTTTCATATAGGAAGTCTCAGCTATTAAATAGAATAATATAACTCATAATTCCTTATTAAAAAATAATTTAAAAAATAAATTAATATTAGGATATTTATACATAAGATAAGAATATTATATATATAATACAAAATAACAATTATTAAAAATATTCTTATATGTTTTTAAAAAAATTAAAGGCTTATCTTTTTATATTTTTGATGAATTCCAAATTATAATTTAAACAAAAAAATATATTACATAATTTTCATTACAAGTAGACTGCAAAACGAGAAAACTAAGCAAATATCACAGTAGAAAAGAATGTATAAAAAGAGAGGGATAAAGATAATATTAGAATATTTATAATTTAAATTAATTAATAAAAATAAGAGGTAAGTAAATAATACTCAAAAGATATATTGGTAAATTTAGACAATTAAAGAATTTTAAACAACAAAAATAATAAAAATATTTTCAGAGTAAGAAAAAATATATCTATGTTATATTATTTTAAAAAAAATAGGTACAAAATATTATGCCAATTGAGAAGTTAATAAAAAGTTACATTAGTAAATATTTAGTACTAAGTATTTGATAATTTAATAAAATAAAATAAAAAGCAAATAATTTGTTTAATTATCATATGATGTGTATCCTTCAATTATATAAATTTTATTATATTTCTGTATATTGTATTAAAAAATAAAATAATAACTAAAATTTATTAAAATAATATGATATATCATATCATAATTTCATAAGATTCTTTAACTTTGTCAGCATTAACATTTATCTTTTGTTTTGTTGACTTTTGCCTTTATCCATTTTTTAAAATAAAATGATGAAAAAGGTTTCCCATACGTTAAATTCAACCGTCAACTTTTTTTCCTTCCGAAACGTCACTTCTTTTAAAACTCTTACTTACCACCGTTCCTTCTCTTCCTCTTCTTCCTTACAAACTTTACACAGATGAACGTTACATAGATGTCCTCAAAACCAAATTCTGAATCAAGAGAGAGACCGATCCGATATTTCAGCGGAACAGGTTTCAGCAACGCTCGACGGTGAAAAGAACGAGGAAGATAGGCAAATAGAATTGGGGTAAAGTTTTTGTTCTTCAGTAGGAAAGAAAGAGGCTGACAGTTAGAGTTTTTCTCTCTTTTATATCTATATAATAGTCCCAAAATCTATTATATAGACAAATCCATATCATGAATTTCACCATTACCTATGGGAATTTAGGCACAAAGATGGAGGCATGTTGTTCACTCGAGAAGCCAAATAGATGAGATGTCTCTCTAACGTATTTATCAGTACTTATTGGAATAATGAATAAATATTTTGTTGGTAACGACATCGATTTACTGATCTGCTAATTAAGCCCGTTGATCTTTCTGTAAATAGTCACACATTGCTGAAAAATAATGCCTCTATATAGGACTTATTCATTGATTGAAAGCTGTTTATTTTTGTTCTTGCTCTGCCCAGGTGTTCTCAAGTCAGGTTTATAATCCCATGTATATCTCTTATCAGCTCCTTTTATTTCGCTGTTGTATTTTTATCATATTTATGCTTGTGTGTTGCTGATTATTGATCTTTTTAATGGATGATTCAGTTTTGGTACTTTATC